ACCCCACGAGTAGGTTCTTGCAAAAGAGCAGCACACACAGTCCAAGCCAAAACACAAATAAACAACAACCCCTCCCCCCACCAAAACCACAAAACTACAGCCTGTATCTAGTAAGTGTAGGAGTATTTGGGACTTCCTGGGCGGGGCTTAACCTGGAGACCCAATCCCATTCCTGAGTCCTGTCCCTGCTTCTCCCACTGCTGTAAGCCATCCGGTCTGAGTGGCAGCAGCTCAGGCACGTCTTCGCTCCACCGCAGCCGTGAAGTGCGTCCCCCGTTTTTGCATCTGCTGTTCTGCAGCCTCAGCCCCCAGCTAGTCTGGTTTAGCTCATTCCTTCACTCCATCAGTCCCTTGGCTTTCAGTCACAAATATCTGCATCTGTGCAGGGATCTTTCCTGGGCTACCTTTTTTTCCCTGGCATCCAGTAGATTACCCAGGCTTTTTATTTTGTAGGAAATGCACCTCGTTTGAGAACTTTAGTGGCTTTCTGCCCCACCCACCCCTGGGGAACCTACAGGGCCTTTTCCCGCCAGCCCCTGCCCGTCCTACCACTCCCCCAAGACTGCACGTTGGCCACGTTTCAGGCCTGTCCCCACATCTCCAGCTGATCCACCTACGTTGGGTAGCGAAGCTGAGGAGGAAGAACGAGTCACTGGGTAGACTGTTTGCTTGGTCCTTTGGAGAAGTGTGAAACCTGCCTCAGGGAGTACAAATGTATCCGTTGATTGCCATTGGATACATTTGTGTGCCATTGGCCAATATCACCCCACAGGGCAGATTGCTGCAAGTGCAGATGGCACATGTGTGGGTACTGAGTGGGTCCCTGGCAGTGGCCACAGGAAGGCGCCAGCGTCAAGAGATAGGCGAGAGCAAGAGGATGTAACGTGCTGCATGAAGGCGGGGTAGGGGGTATTAGTTACAGCAGCAATTTTAAACCAGTGCGCCGCAAGGATTTTTAAAACAAGCAACACCTGACTCCTTAGGGGCACTGACCTCTTTTCCCTTAGAGTATCAAATAAAAAAATGACAACAGCCAACACAGTAGCTGTTTGGTGTGAATGAATCAAAATAATACCTATTTTTTCTTTTTGGTCAGATTGGCAAATAAGATATTTGTTGGTGTGCTGCATGAGTTCAGTAATTAGTTTATGTGTGCAATGAGATTAAAAAAAAGTTTGAGAATCACTGTGTTACAGCAATATAATAGTGAGTGAATAAAGTCCTAAAAGATTACATATAGGGTGGCGTTATTTTCATTTAGTTTTAAACAACTGTCATGCATATATACACTTTGAAGGCAATAGATGTAGCTACAATGGAACTCTATAATAAGAAGCAAAGATGTGGTGGATGAGAGGAGATTCAGTAGGTTATTTCTGGCGAGGAGGGATGGGCAACGGAGATGGGGAATTGTATGGTTGCAGTTAAATGTAGTGTTAGGTCATGATTCTAGCTTCATACTGACTGTATTATTAAAAATAGAAATGAAAGAAGGAGGCCCTGCGTAGACCGATGATTAGAATGTGGGAGTGTCATGAACCGAGAAACATGACTCATCTCTGCACTTGAGGTCCAAATAAAAGGTACAAGCTGGTGTATCAATTCTGAACCCTGGATTGGGCAAACTCGACTTCTCCGAAGCCTGCCCCTCCCTCCAGGGACCAAAGACGGCGCTTCTCTCCTCTGGCCACAAGAGGGCGCGCGCCGCTAGGGGAGGGCGCGTGGCGGCGTCTCGGGCTGCCACTTGCGCCTTAGGGTTGTGTTTTCTCTCAAGGAAAGCCGGGCCCAGCTGGGAGCGCTGGCGGCGCCCGAGCAGGCGCGGCTGCTCGCAGGGGATCCCGGGGACTCCCCAGGGAGGGTCACCGTCCCGCGCGTGGCCCCGGGGATTCGGGAGGAAGCAGCTGCCAGCCTAGCGCAGCCTCCACGTGCTTCTGGCCTGGGCCCTGACGTCCCGCTGCCCCACCCCCACCTCCCCCGAGGCCGGGCGGGGTTGCAAACCGAGGGCTCGCTGGCTGCATCGATTCCCCACAAAAGTTTGGTTTGTCTTGGAGCGTAGATTAAAAAGGTTTATTTGGCAACCTTTAAAAATCAATGTTCAGCCTAAAAATCCAGAGTTCTACTTCTCACAGTCACTTGGGGGCCACTGGCAGCCCTGGGCTGCTGTCCCCACACAGGCACCCCTGCGGGGGATGAGGTTTCTATCGACGTCGGTCAGATCCATACTCAGCGTGACCATTATTCTGGTTATCATCGCTATCTAGAACTGGCCCAAACAGCACGCTTCCTACCATCGTATTTCCTTTTTTTGCACAACTACATAGAGTTAATCACGGTCGTTTTAAAATTTTGCATGATTTTCTATGCAAGTTACAGAAAATGACAATAAAACCCAGATGATACACAAATTGCTTCGATCTCCCTGCACAGTGTGGAGGCACTGGTACTCTCACGGGGGTCTGCACGAGGGAGGCCCCTCAGGGCCGGTAGCTCCAGCCCCGGCGGATGGCCGTCCTCCCCGTGCCCAGCGCAGCGCGAGGCCCGCAGCTCCCTTCATCTAAGTCAGCTAAGTCAGCGGGGTTCCTAGTTTTGTCTTGTTTTTTTTTTTGCAGAGAAATTCGATCTAAATCATATGTGAAACTCCATTATGTAAAACAGGAAATACGATATTAATATGAATCATCAGTTTCCAGCATTTATGTATTATAAAGTCAGTTCATAAGAACAGTGGGATTAGTTTGAAAAGTCCAGTTGGGAGCAAAGAGATGATTGGCTCTTCTTCGGGTTCATCCCACGGCCCAGTCCAGCCCGAGGGAGAGGTCCCAGCTGCCCAGGCAGTGGTGGCGGGTGTCTTAGCAGCTGGCCTCACATGCTTGTCTTCCTCAGCGAGAGGCCACAGATAGGGTTCCCTGCAGGCTGCCCAGAGGGGGGGAGCCCATATGGGCTCCCCTGTGTTGTTGCTGGCTGTGGATGACAGCAGAGTGTGCATTTTAAGTCGTTTTAGGTGCTGATGGGTGTTTTGCCCATAAAATCAGGTATCTGTGAGCCCCGTGAAGCACCTGAGATCACAGGATACAGTTCAGACACCGCCAGGCAGGGGGAAGTGGTAGTTGCTGAGGGGCCCCAACGACCTGCTGTGTTTCCATGGCAACACATGTTTGCTTTTCATGTTAGGGAAGAGGCTGGGAGGCGGCACCCAGGGGACAGGCCAGCTCTGGGTCACTTTAGTGTCCTGGCTGGAGGCCCAGGCTGAGGGCTGAGCAGGTAAACATGTGTGGGAAAGAAGCTTCCAGCCCTCGGCTGCAGCACAAGGGGTGCGTCAGGCCAGCGCCCTCGGGGACATTCTCATTCTTCCCTCTGGGCCTGTCTGTAGACACCAGGCCAGCTGCCCATGGAGGAAGCCAGTCAGCGCCCGCCCTGCCCTAACACCCCAGTGGCCCCGGGTGGAGTGGTCACAGGCTGGGGCCCAGCCAACACCAGACCTGGACTGAAATCCCAGCCTGGTCACTTACCTTGCGTCCACTCAGCTTTCTCGAGTCTCCAGCTGCAGTGCCCGCACGCTCAGGGTAGAGCTTCCGTCCCCCGAGGGCCCTCAAGAGAGGGGGCGGGGGGCCTGCTGGCGCGCACCACCCCGCTAGAGAACCACACCGGAGCTTGGAGAGCCTCTCCGAGCAGCCGTCTTCCTCGTGGGTGGGGAGAGAGCACCTGTGGCAGAGGCTTGCCCGAGGGAGACAGAGAGAGTGCCAGCCTCCCTGCTCCCTGCCTTCCTCTCCAACAGCCAGGCCTGCTTTGTCCACAGGTGCCAACACCTTCTGGGGCCTCTGGTTGCTGCAACGAGCCAGGGCTGCCTCTTGGTCTGTGGGGCAGACCCCAATTCCCTGTCCTCCCTCTGAACTTCCCTCCTCTCACATCTTTGCTTGGTCCTGCCTGGCTGTGACTGCTTGGCGGGTCCCCTCCGTGGGCCAGGAGCTGGGGTCGGGGTAGAGAGTTTGGGCTACACACGGGCACTGCCCCTGGGCTGAGCAGTCCCAGGGAGCGCCTGGTTTAGAGAAGACGAACATATCACCCAGTGCGGTTCTCCAGGACCCAGAAGGCTTGGCTGTTGGGATATGGCACTGGCCTCTGTGTAACTGGGTCTCCGTCTCCCCTCACGTGGCTACTTCAATGCCTAGGCAGAGGTCCTGTATCGCTTTTATGAAAAAATTGGGGTAAAATTATACATAACAGAAAACTTGCCGTGTTAACCATTTTTAGGTATACAGCGCAGTGGCATTAATGACGTTTAAATTGTTGTGTGACCTCTGCCACTGTCCACCTCCAGAATGTTTCATCTTCCCGAGTGGAAACTGTCCCCGTTAAACACGAACTCTGCCTCTGACACTGCTGGATCCCTTGCGTAAGGGATATCATACAGCATTTGTTGCTTTGTGTCTGGGTTATTTCATTTAACATAGTATCACCAAGGTTCATGCATGTGGTAGCATATGTCTTTTTTAAAAAAAGATTTCACTGATTTATTTTTAGAGAGGGGGGAAAGGGAGGGAGAACGAGAGGGAGAGAAACATCGATGTAAGAGAGAAACATGTCGGTTGCCTCATGTACATGCCTGGACTGGGGACCACAACCCAGGCGTGTGTCCTGACCAGAAATTGAACTGGTGCCCCTGTGCGCGGCAGGAAGATGCCCGACCAATGGAGCCGCGTCGATCAGGGCTTGAATCTCCTCCTTTTTTAAAGGCTGCCTGTATGCCTGTTGCTCTGAGTCCTGCTGTATGTCATGCATCAACATTACTGGCTTCCACCCTTGAAATCAGTCTGCTTTGAAAATATGCAAATCTTGAGAGGCCACTGTCTCCTGCATCCTTTTCTCACCTCACCTCACCTCACCTCCGGTGGGTGGTCCCCAGCCAGCACCTCTCCATAAGCCTCATGGGCCCCTTCACTTCACTCCTGGCTTTACAGCCTTCTTCTGGTTTAATAAGAAATCCTTCTGCCATGGGTCAAGTCAATATTTTATTTAAAAAACACAGAGACACACATGCACAACGGTCACGAAGGCAGAATCAGGAGAGGAGGCTGAGAGCTCATCTTCGGGGACAGGTGGACCACCTAGGGCTCCTACAAGCACACCTCACTGCAAGAACGAGGGCACCTCCGAGGCCAGCTTCCCGGGCTAGATAAATTAGGAAAGGGCTTTGCTTCACAGGGCAGACTTAAGGCGGCGTCACTCCCCTGCAGAACGGGAGTTGTGCAGATGTACCCAGAAACCCCTCCACCGTGGGAAGTGTGGTCACCGGTCCCTGAGGCAGTTTCAAAAGCAGGAGGGAGACACCAGATTTCCCTGGAGGCTGCTTTTCTTTCCCTGATGGGGAGGAATGTTCTCCAAGGAGGACCGCAGAGAGAGGTTCGCAGCAGCTCAGGAGCCCAGGAGGAAGGCGAAGGCCCCCCTCCATCCGTGCCTGCCAGCCCGGGCAGGACTTTGGCACAGGACACAGGTTCAGAAGTCTTCCCTCAGGTCGCTGGCCCACGGACCGTGCTGTCTGCTGGGCCGCGCGTCCTGCGGGCCGGGAGGCTGTGGTGTCCTCAGACGGCTGCATCTTGGGAAGGAAACAGCCACGTGAGGACGGCTGGCCGGGGCAGGGCCCCCCAGAAGTCGCACACCGGCAGGCCGACCCACATTCTGCCCGGGGGAGCGCCTTCCTCCACCCACACCAACTGTCGCTGGGATTATTTTATTCTTTTTTAAATACATTTCTAAAAAGGAAAAAAATAAACAGGGCAAAGGGGATTTCCATCCCTGCTCCCCCCCCCACCCCTCACCCTAGGCTTCCTCCTCAGAGGTACCTGAGCTCCAGTAACTGTTTCTTTTGGCTCCTCCTCCACAATTTTAAGTAACATATTCACACCAATTATCGACTCATCATCTTTAGATATTATCTATTAACATTTTTTTTACATTCTGTTTGTATCATTCATTTTTTTTCTTAAACAGCTTTACTGACATAGAATTTATACACCATAGAATTCGCCCATGGCTTTTCCCATATTCCCTCTAAATTGTGCAGCCATTTTAGGACATTGTCATCACTTCAAAAAGAAACCCCACACCATTAGCAGGCAACCCCCTCCCCCGTCTCCCACCTCCCTCCAGCCCTACGCAACCACTCCTCTACTTTCTGCCTCTGGGGACTTGTCTCTTCTGGACATTTCACATAAATGGAGTCCTACCCTATGTGGTCTTTTTAAAAAAAAGGTTTTATTTATTTATTGAGAGAGAAAGAGACAGAGAGAGAGAGAGAGAGAGAGGGAGAGAGAGAGAGAGAGAGAGACGGGAAGGAGGGAGAAGGAGAAGGAGAAAAACATCAACTGGTTGCCTCTCGCACGCCCCCGACTGGGGACCTGGCCCACAGCCCAGGCATGTGCCCTGACTGGGAACTGAACCAGCCACCTTTCGTTTGGCAGGCTGATGCTCAATCCACAGAGCCACACCAGCCAGGGCTGTATGTGGTCTTTTGTGACTGGCGCCCATCCTGTTACCTTGTCCCAGGGACTCCTAGAAGGAAACTGCAGCTCTGGTGGGACCACCTGTCTGCAGGGCAGCTCACACACCATAATGTATATGCTTTAACATTTTTAATGTGTTTTTCAAAAAAGAAAAAGAACAAAGAAAGGAAGTGCGAGATCAAAGAAAAAAGCGGGTTAATCAAAATAGCTGGTTCGAGCTTTCAGCAATTTTAAGGAAAAAACACGAGGTTTAGGTATGGAGATATATTTATAAGGATGTTCATTACAGTGCTTTTTAGTGGCAAAGAATTAAAATGACAACAACAAAAGATAATGCTCCCACATAGGAGACAAGGAAACTATAGCAGAGACATGCCATGGGGTCAATGCCGCACCACGGAGCCATTAAGGGCAGCGGAAGAGAGCGCCCGCGGACACGGGCACAGTGTCCGACAGATGGCAAAGCAGGAGAAGAAGATCAGGTTACAAAATAACACAGTTCTGATCGTTTTAATCAATGCAACACGTATAGAGAGAGGAAACCCTGGAAGGAAAGACACCCAGCAGGTTTTATTTCTGGAGAGTGTGAGGACCGATGGTTTTTATTAAAAACATTTTTTTCTTATTTGCATTTTCTAAGTGTTTTATATTTCATTTTTGTCATTAGGAAACAGTTAAAGGAAACTCTTCTCCACCAGAGGCTGAAACGTTAGGGCTTTTTGGGCGTGACGGGCACGAGGATAGGGACAGAGACTGGACGGGAGAACAGGGGATCCTGCGTTACGTCTCTCCTCCCAGGCTCCTGCACATCCACGGCCTCCCCTACCGCAGGCTGTTCCCTACTGTGACACCCCAGGACAGGCTGTCCTCCTGTCCCCGAGCACAGGGACCTGTCAGAGATCGTCTGTGTTCAGATGCCCACAACTCACCTGCAGACTGAGTCACACAAGAGATCTTGTAGGAGAGCCACACGCTCGCCAGGCAGAGGAAGGTGGCCAGGAAACCGAAGATCTGCACAGGAGAGAGAGGAGAAGGAGTTCCTAGGCCGAGGGCCCACCGCTCGGCAGTCTTTCTGCCTCTCGTCTCTGCGCCTGCTCCCTGTCCTGACTGTGGCCGGCTGAGAGCTTGGGGAACGACCTGACCCAAACACTCTGTTCTCTCTCAGGTGAAGAGATGAGGCCCCGGCCCCAGGTCAGGGACCCCGGCTGGGACTCATGTCAGGCCTGGAAGCCAGGCCGCCAGGTCTCCACCCCTCGGCTCTTCTCGCTCTGGGCAACTTCCGTGCCCACGTTCAGGCTTACGTTTCAGCTGAGCTGGGGCCAGCCACTGCACTTTACTTATCCTGGGCTAATGAAAAAGAAGAAGATAGAATTGTAAATTTTAATGTGGGTTTTAAAATTTTAGTGTCCATGTGGATTTAATTGGTGCGGTAGCATTGTTTGCATTTCATTCATAATGCTTTGTCTGGCTTTATAGCTGTGTAAGAGCCAGGAGTGGAGGAGGTCTTGCCATCTAGCCTTGTGCTTGCACATAGTTCAATAATATTAGATTAAATAAGTTCAGGCAGTGCTCCTTTCCTTTCTGGAAGTCCCCCCAGTGCACAAGTGTGGGGACTTCGCCCAACCTCCTCATCTGAGGATGGGAAACAGGGCGCCTAAAGCAGAACAGGCCCTCGTATGAGGCTTGCCAAACGGGCAAACGGGAAGCAGGCACACGCTCTGGTGTGTTGCCTGGAGCTTCAAAGTCTGGACTCATTTTCCTCACTAGTGAACAAATCTGGCAGCTGTAGCCAAAACTTACTGAGTGCTTGCTATGTACCCAGCAGTCTTCTGAGCCCTCAGCTGTCACCTTCTTTAATCCTCACAGCTCTGCCAGGCAGACCCTGGTGTTACCCTCCCAGCCCCTCATTTTACAACGGAGGAAATGGAGGGACAGGAGGTCAGTGACTTTGCCCAGGGCCAGAGAGACAGCAAGGGCCAGCCCTGGGACGGGAGCCCAGGGAGTCTGGCTCCAGAGTCCACACTCTATTCTACTTGTTGCCTGGGTGTTCTGAGACTTGCAAAAAGCCTCAGGGTCACTGTGTTGCCACTTAAGTGTCCCGCCAGAACCGCTGCCAGACCACCGCCCACGTCCAGGTGGAATGGCCCAGGATGAAGGGCACAGTTTTTAAGGCTCAGTTTTCCTTTCGAGCCTGCCTGCTGGTCTGTGTAAGTGGCTGCCCCCACAGGCCCACACTAACTCCCCTTCCCTTAGGTCTGTTTCCTTGGCTCCTTTTGTACTGATTGTCTGCACTGCATAATTAGCCTATTAAAGCCTGTTCAGGCCTCTCATTGTCTGTTCTGCACAATTAGCACATTATATACCATCCTGGCCTCCAACTGTCTGCACTGCATAATTGAACAGTTTATTCTATTGCTATATAATGCTATTCTGGACGACAACGCCTTGTTTGCTAATTGTTGCACGTGCCTTAGCCTTGACTCTGAGCTGGATCACCTCTCATAAGCAAGGACCCTGTCTTTTTATTTCTTCTGGCTCCCCCATGGAACTCGATGGTGTGTGGTAAATGGGGTTTATTGGGGTTCCAGGGCTAACACCATTATCTGCAACCTGAATCATAAAACCCAGCAGGAGCCTCCCGATGTGGTCCTGACACACAACGGGCACGCATGTTCTGCCTCCCCCACCAGCCTGTCTGCAGCCGGGCGGGTGGTAACCTGTAGCTGGTAACTGCACCTCTCCTTGGAGACTGAAGGAAGTGGGGATTTGCAAAGGGTGCGAAGAGGTAGATGGAAGGGCGGGCTGTGGGAGGCACTTGAGGGGCATTAAGAGGAGTGGCCTTCTGCCCCACACCACCGTTAGAGGGCAGACTCACCCCTCCGGGGAATTCCAGGCACAACCCCACTCGCAGCTGAAAGTCTGGAGAATTCGTAAATGAAAGAGCGACTGTCACACAGACAGCTTTTCTTAAAACACACTTAAAAATCTTGCCTGCTCCTTAATGAGGCAAATCAGAACTGGCCCTCAAGCTGCCAAACTGTAAACAATTTGCTAAATCGGAAATCAGATGACAGGCATCTACAAATCTTTTAAAAACAACGATGTACTCATATGTATATATGTGTTTGTATATGCATGATAAACATGAATAGCTCCCACAGCACTGTGGTTTTGCACATTTCTATGCTACTTCTATTTAGGCTATCTGATGGGTCAATTTTCACCTTTGAAAGGTATAGGAGGGTTACTTCCTGGCCCTGAATACTGCTAAAAATGAGGTTCGGCAAAGCTAGGACTGATGGCCGATATCATTAACTAACACCCAGTACTGTTCCCCTGAGCCCAAAGGAGGCTCCAGAATCTTTCTCTGTATAAAGATTTAAGGGTTGAGGCAGCCACAAGCAAACGGCCACAATGGGCATGTGATTTAACACCTACTTGCCACCTGACTAGCTGCTGCTGCAAGAGAGGCCTGGGCCGCTGGGGTTATTTGTTTGCCAACGGCCCTGATGATTCACCTCCTGAGGACCTCCGCTGGGGACCCAAGTTTAAGGCTCTGTGGAGACTGAGCTGGCTGGATCAAGGTGGGTACTGATTCTACGAAAGAAAGGCCCCAGAAAACAATCCCTTCGCCATCCCCGTCAGGAAGAAAATGAGCACTCAGAACAGGAAGTCACTGTCGAAGGCTCCCCGAGAAGGTCCTCACCGCTGCGGCTACCAGCTCGCTCTGGTTGTAACTCTTGGAGGCTGCCACGATGGAGGCGATGAGGAGGAGCAGGGTACCAATTAAATAATGCAGAAGTTCCTGGGGGCAGAAACAAAGCAAGGCAGTGGGTGGGGAGGTCCGTTCCTGGTTCTGAGAGGCAACCAGGCATCAGGAGAGAGGAACAGAAGGGGAGCGGGGGTAACACCCCGACAGGAGCAGCGGCTTACAGGCAATGAATGCGTAAGGCTGGCCAGGATGAGGCCAAGGCCAAGCAAGAGAGAAAAGATGCCAGGGAGAAAGGAGACAAAAAGACGGGGCGCGTCTCGTGTGAGAAGAGATATCCAGGGAGGGCTGCTGCTCTCCTGAGATCCGTGTGTAGACGCCACCTTGACCTCTGGCCAAAGCTACTCAAAAGCAAACAAGCTTCTCCCAACTCCCCTGGCTGGAAAGTTTAAATAAAGCTCCAGTCCTTGGAAGCAAAGCCTCAAGAGATGGGTGCCTTTTGCTTCTGCTTCAGAGAATGGTTTGGGCTCACATTGTGTTGGCTTTGGTGGCTGACCGGAGCATCTGCCTGCCCTGGAAACAGTTTTTTAAGGTGTGGACTTGAGAGGTGCTTGGCCCGCCAGACTGGGAGTCAGAGCCTGGAGTACAGTCAGCAGCCCTTCTGCACGTGCTTGGGTGTGTGGAGTCGGCTTTCTACCCTGGGAGGGTGCCTCAGGCCGAGCTCGGCTGCTAAGTCTACTGGCAGGACGGAGTCTGCCTTTGCTCCTCTCCTTGGTCCACGGGACCATCCGTTTCCACCCCATTCACTCTCCAGGATTAGGATGTCATTCGGCAACATGGCAATACTTGCACCTCATCCTTCTTCCTCCCCAGGAAATACCAGATCAGAGCAGAAGTGGGGTTTAGGGCCATGCATAGTATTCACTCTAAATCCAGAGGATCCATTTTCGGTCTTCAATGAGAGTTCAGAAATCACTCCTTCATGAACTTCTGCCCATCAGGGCAAGTGGCTATTGACTTTGGGAAAGCATTCCACCTTCAAGCTGCAGTTCCTGTCAGAGCTGTGCAAAATGAAAGACCCTGGTTTCTCCCTTAGCCACTAGAAAAGGATGTCGCAAGGTAGACGATAGGAATTTTGAGCGAGTGCAGACTGGTAACTGGAAGTTCTGTACCTGTAAGATTCTCACACACACACAAAGAGGACTATGACCTGGGGTGGAGAAAATGGCTTGAGAGCTTCCTGAATGGAAGGCGCCTAAATTGTACTCAGCTAAAAAAATGTGTGGCTGAATTTATCCTTCCAACATTTACTCCCCCTTCAGCCTGCCCTCATTCTTGTCCCCCAGCTTTTATCCTGGCATTTGCTTCTTCATTATCAGCATCAAGGGAAGCCCAAAGGAGCTTGTTCTCAAAAAAGGCAAAAAGGTGTCAACACTATGAAAGGGGCCTTACAACTTAGGAACACAAAAAAAATCACTCTTACAATAACATAGTGGGTAATAAAGTTAAATGTGAATGATTACACAATTCAGTCAAGAAGCAGAGGTTGTCAGACTAGGTTTTTAAAAAAGATCCAACTATATGTTTTCTATAGAAGACACACATTATATTCAAACATACAAGTGGACAGAAAGTAGAAGGAGGAAAAAGATGCCATTCAAATAGCAACCAAAAGAAAGGTAGGATGGCTATAGTTGTACCAGACAAAGTAGATTTTAAAACAAAAAGTATTACCAGAGGTAAAAAGGGACATTTTATAAAGATGAAAATGTCAATACATCAGAAAACTATAACAATTATAAACATATATGCACCTAATAACAGAGCAACAAAATGTATGAAGCAAACATTCAAAGAAATGAAGGGAGGAATAGATAATTTAAAAATAACAGTTGGAGGCTTCAATACCCCACTTTCAATAATGTTTAGAACAACTAGGGAGAAGACTAACAAGGAAACAGAAGACCCAAACAATACTACAAAACAACTAGACGTAATAGACATCTATGAAATATTCTATCCAAACAAAGGGAGAATATACATTCTTCTCCAATGCACATAAAACATTCTCCAGCATAGACCATATGCCAAACCATAAACCAAACCTCAATAAATGCAGAAGGATTGAAATAATTTGAAGTATGTTCTCCAACTACAACGGAATAAAAGTAGAAATCAACAGCAGATAGAAATATGTGAAACTCACAAATTTGTAGAAATTAAGCAACACATTAATTAAGCAACTAATTAATGAGTCAAAGAAGAAATCACAAAGGATATTAGAAAAACTTGGAGATGGATGAAAATGAACACACAATATACCAAAATTATGGGAATCAACTAAAGCAGTGCTCAGAGAGATATTTATAGCTGTAAATGAACATATTAAAAAAAGAAGAAAGGTTTCAAATTAATAACCTAACCTTTACCTTAAGACACTGTAAAAGAAGAGCAAACTAATCCTAAAGCAAGAAGAAGGAAATAAAGATTGGAGCAGCAATTAATGATATAGAGAACAGAAAAACAATAGAGAAAATAAATGAAACCAACAGCCGGTTCTTTGAAAAGATCAACAGAAGGCAAACCTTTAGCTAGACTGATCAGGAAAAAATAAAAAAATTAAAAAGAGAGAAAATATTCAGATGAACAATATTGGAAATGACAGAGGGGACATCACTCGTCATCTTACAGAAATAAAAAGGATTTTAAAGGAATAAATCAACAAGTGCATGCCCAAACTAGGTAACTTACATAAAATGAACATACTCCAAGAAAGACATACTACTGAACATGACTCAATCAGAAACAATCTAAATAAATCTACAGGGTCTAGCAGAAGTAACGCCTGCTTGAGTGTGGTTGGTAGGGTAATAACCTGGGTGTAATAATTTATAGTTTTAATTTGAACATTTCACCTAAAATGTCACGTGGTGTGCGTGAGTGTGATAGTGTTATGTTACAGAATTACACGCTTATGGTTTTATAATAAAAGATTTTGTAATTAAAAAAAGGGTGTTATTTGTGTCTGACCCGGTATAGCAAGTAGAATTTGAATTAATAATGGAAAAATCAGCCACAAGAAAAGCTCAAGTCCACATGGCTTACCAATTCTTCACAAACTCTTCTAAAAATTAGAAGATGAGGGACTACTTCCCAAATTATTCTATAAGGTTGCATTACCCTGATAACAAAATGAGACACAGATGTCACAAGAGAACAATCTCTCTTATGAATGCAAATGCAAAAATCCTGAACAAAACACTAGCAAACCAAATCCAACTACATATAAATTGAATTTTACACTATTGTCAAACAGAATTTATCTCAGGAATGAAAGGTTGGTTCCCCATAATATCAATGCAAGAGAATATAAATGGGGGAAAATTTATATGATTATCTCATTAGACAAAGAAAAAGCATTTGACAAAATCTAACATCCTTTCATGATAAAAACACTTAGGAAAGTAGGACTAGGATGTAATTTCTTCATTCTGATAAACAACATCTACAAAAACCTACAGCTAACACCATATTTCATAATGAAAGATGGGCTACTTTTCTCCTAAAATCAGAAAAAAATGATAATGATGTCTGCTCTTGCCACTTTGATTCAACATTCAACTAATTTCTTGCAATAAGGCAAGAAAATAAAATAAAAGGCACCCAGATTGGAAGGGAATATAAAAATATCTCTGTTCACAAGTGGCATGATCTTGCATATAGCAAATCTCAAGGAATCCACTAACAATCTATTAGATTTAAGAAATGAGTTCAGCAAGGATGAGGACACCAGATCAACATAGAAAAATTAACTGTATTTCTATCCATTTGCAATAAACAATCCAAAAAAGAAATTAAGAAAATAATTACATTGGAAATATCAAAAAATAAGGTACTTATACTTGAAAGCTATAAAACATTGTTAAAAAAATAGTAAAAAGTCTAAATAAATTGAAAACCTCCCATTCTCATGAATCACAAGATTTATTATTGTTAAGGGGGCAATACTCTCCCAATTGATTCACTGCAATTCCTATTAGAACTTCAGCTGACTTCTTTGTAGAAACTGAAAAGTTGATCCTAAAATTTATGTAAAATTGCAAAAATCCAATACAATCTGGATAAAGAAGAACAAACAAGAGTCACACTTCTGAATTTCAAAATTTACTACATTTTACAGTAATCTAGATAGTATAGTAAGATCAATGCAATAGAATTGAGTCCAGAAATAAATCCATGTGTTTATGGCCAACTACTTTTCAACAAGGGCACCAAGACAATTCAATGGGGGAAGAATAGTATTCCCAACAGATGATGATGGGACAACTGGACATTCACCTGCCAAAAATGAAGTTGAATCCTACCTCACACTACATGCAAAGATTGACTCAAAATAGACCAAATGTCTAAATGTAAGAGCTAAAGCTATGAAACTTTAGAATAAAACTTAGAGGTAAGTCATCACAGTCCCAAATTTGGCAATGGCTTTTAGATATACCAAAACCACAAGCAACAACAACAAAAAAAAAGGTAATATAGATTTCATTTAAATTTAAAACTTGTGCTTTAATAAACGCTATCAAGAAAGTGAAAAACAACCAGCAGAATGGGAGAAAATATCAGCAAATCATAGTTCTGATAAGGGACTTTTAAGTAGACTGTACAAAAAATGCTTACCACTCAATAACAAAAAGACAATCTAATCAAAGTATAGGCAAAGGATCTGACAGACATTTCTCCAAGGAAAATATACAAATGGGCAAAAAACACATGAAAAGCTGATTGATGTTATTAGTCACCAGAGAAAAATACAAATCAAAACCATAAGATACCACTTCACACTCACTAGAATGACTATAACCTGAAAGTCGGAAAGTAACAAGTGTTGGCAAGGATGTGGAAAAATTGGAACCCGAGTATACTGCTTATGGGAATGTAAATGGATGGGCCACTTTGGAAAACAGTCTGGCAGTTCCTGGAAAACATAGTCACCATGTGACCCAGCAATTCCACTCTTAGGTATATTCCTAAGCGAAATGAAATCATGTCTATACAAAAGATTTGCACATGAATGTTCATAGCAGCATTATTCGTAATAGCCAAAAGGAGGAAAGAACCCAAATGTCCATAAATGGTGAATAAAGACAGAAAATGTGGTACATACATCCATTCAATGGAATGTTACTTGGCTGTGAAAAGGACTGAAGTATTGACATACACTACAACAAAGATAAACTGTGAAAACACTCTGCTAAGTGAAAGAAGCCAGTCACAGAAGACCGCATATATGATTTCATTTACACAAAATGTCTAGAATAGGAAAATTTATAGAGACAGAAAGTAGATGAGTGGTTGGTCAGGGCTGAAGGGGATGAGGGATAGAAGGTGATGGCTAAAGGGCATGGAGTTTCTTTCTGAGGTGATGAAATGTGCCAAAATTGACTGTGCTGATGGAGGCACAGTTCCGGGAATATACTAAAATCCAATGGATTATACACTCTCAATGGGCAATTGTACAGCATGTGACTGATTTAGCCATAAATCCATTTTAAAAAATAATAAAGTGGGAAGAAAAAACCCTGGCAACTTTGAAATCTTTCCTTAGACTCTGCCAGTCCATTTTAGCTGACACATCTTATCATTCAATACTCACAATGGTAAAAATACTCATCACCTTCATCACCTTCATCCTTCCATGTTCCTCCGCCCAAAACACACACACACACACACACACACACACACACACACACACACACAGGCCACTATCTGTCACTTGAGAATGTAAACACCAAGGTGAGAGGCAGAGCTCTCTTGTAGCGGGAAGGTGAGCTTTAGAAAGCAGTGGGACATCAGGCAGAGATGCCCACCAGACAGTGGGAAATTCAGGGCTGAAGCAGCTGAACGGCACAGGAGGTGGAGTGGGTAGACCAGAAGGATGCCATGGGGTCTCAGTGCCCCAGCCAACACCCTGACTTCTGTGTGGACAGGGCCAGGCCACTCCCTTACCGAGAGGGGCCAGCTGATACAGGTGAGCACGCGGTAGAGGCGGAAGAGGTGGACCAGGTAAAAGGCGAGGATCATTATCAAGTTGCAAATGGTGACCACTTCAAAGTATCTGAAGGCACTGTAGCTGGTCCATGGGGAGCTGCTCACGCAGATGAAGGCAATCAGCAGAGTGACCTGAGACACAAATGCAGACAGATCAGAGAAATGCACCCCCAGGGAGCAAATGGTAACAGAACAACAGAAACACAAACTGCAACAGAAACTGGAGCAACTGCTACAATCCAGGTTATTTCCTCACAAATTGGCTAGAAGAATACAATTTCCTGTAGTACAAGCTTTTAAAATATATGCTGGTTGTGAATGTTAAGAACGGCCACGAGTCACTTTGTCCTGAAAATAAACAAGCAGAACCATTCTATTTATTTTTTGGACTCCACAGAGCAAAGATACACTCACTGTGATACTGCACCTTGGGTTTGCATATTAGGTTGAATGGTAGGAAGTTGCTGATATTTGACTCTTTTAGATTCACGAAGATGGCGACTCATAAGTTATGCCCTGCCAGCTGGCAGACAATGCTACCCTTCATTAATGTCTGATGTACATGATCTCATGGAGGTCTCACAGGACTCTACCAGGTAGATGAAATCACCCCCATGTTCATATGAGGATACTGAGGCACATAGGTTCAAGAATTAGCTCAGGGCTACCCAGCTTGTAAGCAGCAGAGGTGGGATTTGAACCTAAGTCTGTCTGACTCCAGGGACCATGTTCCTTTGTGTCGGATGCAGTTTTCCCTTCTAAAAATGGAAGCCCTCATCATGAACAAGCTGAGGAAGGGGGATGCGTTATCAAATGTGTAGGGACCCTGGTTTATAAGGTGGTGCTTGGTCATCACTGGGCATGTGGTAGGTAAGAACTCACTTGCTAAGTCTATTATTGCATGAAGGAATGAATGAACAAATGAATGAGAAGAATTTATAAATTAATGACCTCTTAATGAATCAACAGGTCAGGTAAATGATTAGCAATATATGAATACTATGGAAGAGCAGAATGGGAGAGGGTAGAGAAGATTCTGAATTTTTGTGAAGGTCACTCAGAGAGAGAAACTCCTGTTCACTTATAGGTGTTAAAGGTATGCAAAAATCTTAGGACCTATTTTAAAAGCACAATTAATTTAGGATGAAAATTAATTTTTAAATTATATTTTATTGATTATGCTATTTACAGTTGTCCTGATTTTTCCCCCTTTGCTCCCCTGCACCCAGCACCCCCTATTCCCTCAGGCAATCCCCCCACCATTGTTCATGCCCATGGGTCATGTGTATACGTTCTTAGGACAAATATTATTTTATGCTGTCTCTTTCCTATGGAACGATGATTCTCAATATGGGTGTGTGTGTGAGATTTTGTGTCTTTTGGCAACGTCTGGAGACATTTGGGTTCTCACAGTGTGGTGGGGGTGGGGTGCTTATTGGTATACAGTTGGAGAGGCTGTGGGTGCTGCTAAACACTCCACAGAGGATGGTCCCTGTAGAAAGAACTATCTGGTCTCTTATGCGGCCCAAAGGGTTGCGCTGCTGTGGAGAAAGCCTGCTGTAGAAAATGAGCCTGTGATGAGAAGGAAACCACAAAATGGATCTAAGGCTGGTTAAAGTAGTCAGCACCAAAAAAGGTTCTGTCTTCTGAAGCCCCTCATTTCTAGCATACTGCCAAGCTCCTCGGCAATACGTACAACAGCTAGAAATTAATTTTCTCTCGGCTTGAAGCTTAAAGCAGATATGAAGCACGCTCTGCTTCACAGACCAAAGCGGCAGATTGTGGCTGTGACAAGAAGGGACCCTCAACATCGGCGTATTTCCCTTTGCTAATGAGCAACACATTTTCATTTTCTCGGTTCCTCTCCAGCCAGTCAGCTGTGGTGATTGAATGACTCATGCCTTGAGGTTGTCCTAAAGCCGAGGGGAGGCTTTGCCCTGGTCCGGTCCGGAGTGCGCGTGCTGGCCGTCAGCCCCACTTCCAGCCTCGCCTGCCTGGGAACTCTATGGGTCTCTCAGCCCTGCGCTGACCCTCATACGCGGGGGCACATTTATTCAAGGCCTGCCTTAACGTGCACATAATCCAGGACCAGCTGGTGTGACTCCTGCGTGAAGAAGCAATGCTGCACCTAATTTAATGCAAAAATTAGAATAATTTTCACAACCCTTCATCTGTGACAAAGTAGCTCTGACTCCTGGTGACACAGAGATGTGGGAGTTTCCCAGTGACCCACAGGGGCCCAGGCAGGTCTCCCCCTCTGGGCTCCCAGGTTGAGTACTATGCAGCAGGAAGTACCTTACTGCTCTACCACAAGCCCTCTCAGATCTCTCTGGGAAACTCGTTTGTGAAATGAGACTTCTAGAATTCTGTCCATCTGGCCCGAGTCCACCTACCATATTCCTTTAGGAAAGCCCAACTTTGGAAAATCGCAATTTAGACAGCAGAGGGTACATACTTATGCATACTGTTGAAAGCTTCCTTTCGCCCAAGGATTCCAAGGATTCTTGCATTCCTAGTTTAGATAGACAGCATCTTAGCTAGTGCACTCGAAAAAAACATAGATTTGATTGACACCAAACTTTTCAGGAACAAACTAAGGCCAGTAGGTGACCTCTGCCAATGCTGGAGACCCCTGAATCATTCAGATCCATGTGTGGGGGCCTCCAGAAAGTTGAAGCAGAAGAAGGAATAAGACAGGGGTGGAGAAAAAGGACCTAAGGTGTCGGTCTGCCACCCCCACCTGGCCCTCGCAGGACCTCTCTAGTTGCCTGTTAGGAAAGCAGATCCACGAACATCCTGACTTCAGATGGCCCAGTGGCGGTTCTGGCCTCAGGACTGAGTGAAGCAGGCTGCGGGCTCTGAGAAGACGGAGGTGGTTCTATTTAGAGTAACTGAAGTGTGACACTGTCCAAAGGAGTGACTTGATTCTCAGGGGTGCCTGCTAGCTCCTCTCCTCAGGGTTTGTTCTTCTACATGGAGGTGCCATGAGTGTTGAAAATAAAAGATCGCACATAAATGTCCATTAAGAGTCATGTTGCAGCCCTGGCTGGTGTGGCTCAGTGGATTGAGTGCTGCAAACCAAAGGGTCACTGGTTTGATTCCCAGTCAGGGCACAAACCTGGGCTGCAGGCGAGGTCCCCAGTAGGGGGTGCGTGAGAGGCAACCACACATTGATGCCCTCCCCCTTTTTCTCCTTCCCCCTCTGTTGAAAAATAAATAAATAAAAATTAAAAAAAAAAGGTCAAGTTGCAAGAACCCTCAGCTCAAAGCAAGGGTCTCACAGACCAGTCCAAGGGACGATTAAATATCACTAGAATCACCTCAAATTTGAAACCCCCTTTGCTCCAAATGGTGTCCCTTCTGACTCCACACTGTCAGAATTCTTACCAGAAAGAAGAGGCGATTTTTGTGAAAGTAGCAGTGGGTTTCAATTTCAGAGGAGATGAAGCAAGCTGGCGTTACCTGAGGGAAGCTATTGTCCCCTAAGAACTTTGGAACTAAAATGTGCTGGTCCTAACGCCACAGCCAGACCCCAGACAGCTTGGTCAGGTTCTCAGCTGGGGGGTATCGTTTGTTAGGACCACCCCAAAATGTCCTACAATGCCATATGGATTACTTTGCATTAAGGTTACCTGATAAGCAGCCAGTGCCAGAAGGCCACCTCGACCCTCCCTTGCCTCCTTGCATGCAGGAAATAAGTCTCCTATGTGACAAGTGTCCTCCTGCTCCAGGAGGGCTGAGAGACAACCTTATACTAAAGCTAAGAGACCCTGAGTCAAGGAGTTTATATATGGACATGTTAGTACAAAAAGGCGACTAGTTCGATCATTGAGCCTCATTTTATGAACTGAGCATCATGTTGTGATTCTCCTGTGCACATGTATTAAATATTTTCCTCCTGTTAATGTAATCTTGGTCCATTTTACTATTTTATTACTAGTCGAGCCACAAGAACTAAATAAGGGTAAAGGGGGGCGTTTCTCCCCTTGCCCAACATCCTCGAGGAAGAAATGGAATTGTGAAGTCTAGACGGACAGCCTCTGGGGAAGGCTCCGGAGGCCGTGTTCAGGAGACGCCTCCCTCCGAGCTGGGCAGCAGAGGCCTGTGGTGGGGCGGGGGCCTGTCGCTTGCTGTCGGCAGCCCGCGCCCTCAGCAGGCCTGACCCGGCTCGCTCCTGCCAAGTCTGGTCCGCGGAGCCTGACTGCGTCTGGCTGAAGATGGCAGCAGACACCTTTTGTTTTAAGAGCCCCGGGCTGGATGGATGCTGGCTAACTCCACCCTCTCTCAAGGGTTTTGATTCTGACCTTGGAATAAGGTTTCCATGAGAGAGACAGGCAGGAGGAGGGCAGGTAAGTGATGAAAGGCAACATCAAAAAGTCTCAGGCCCAGCTCTAAGAGGTTTTTCTGGAAAAGCGCAGGAGATGAAAGCCAGGCTTGTTCAAAAAGTCAGAGATGTGAACGACGACTTAGTGGTTGGAAATTGCACGGAGACATAAGAAGGCCCACAAATGCCTTTGCCTGACAGGAAGGCTGGAAGAGGAATCTGGAATGTTCGCAGCTTTGGCTGAACTCTGCCCTGGGTGGGTGTAGGCAAATTTAGCCCTGCCCCCCTGTCAAAGCCCCCACTAGTCACCACCAGGAAACAGCCCTGCTGCAATCTCATTAACACCCACGGGGAGCGAGAACCCTCACCTGGCTTACTTCCTCTGCACCCCGGCCCCCCCAACATCAGACTTCTGCTACAAGCTTCTTGCCACTCTCTTGCCCCCAGCACACAGATTTGTTCGGTATTCAAAAGAAAACACGAGGGAGGGGGAATAATCTAGAAAACATTATGTCAGGGGTCCTCGGGTGCAGGCCTGGAGCGGCCGGGTAAGGCACTGGTTTCTAAATCTAACCATGCCTCAAAGTCACCTGTGGTAAACTATTACACCAGCGCCTGCGCTTGTCCGTGCTGGGAATAGCTCTGAGAGGCCAAGTAAGAAGCTGTGAACAGTGGTTGCTTCTAGGGAGGAAATGAATTATTTAGTAATTTAAAAATTTCGTATAAAGATCACATGTCAGGTTATAAAATAACAACTTTTCTTATGACATGTCTTGGAGGTCTTTAATGGCATCTATACAGGCCTACC